ATTTCCCCCCCCCCCCCAGGTTTTCCGACGGGGTTGGGGGGGGGGGGGACATGTCCCCCTGTCGCCAACCTGCGCCCAAGACTAGAACGAACTATGAACCCCATCGGTTTTTCGAGCAATTTGTGGATGGTCAGGGGCTACGGCAAATTAATCTTAAGCAATAACGCAAATTTGAAATAAATGAAGAATGTATTAGAAAAACACACAAACCTTCACGGCACTGTTCCATCATTGCTAATTCCGTTTTCTCAATCTCTTCCTTTAGTTTTTTATTATTTTGTATCTTTTTGTATCTTAGTAGTATTATTAGGCAGATAACAACAACAATTATAACACATAATAATACACTAATAATAACAACCGTCTTGTCATCTTTGTACAAGTAATTCAAAAAACCTACATCTTGTTTATAGTTACCAACCTGGGCCTAAAAACATACACAAATATAAACGTAGTTCATCGTGTTACAATCAACTAGCATCGAATTCGCTAATCTGAGGGTGTTGATAATCACCCCCACAAAGCCACTTTAAAACTTACTTCCAGAGAGTGAAATTTGAGGCACCTGATGCTGCAGATCTGTTTTTACAGATTGTACTTTTAGTGTTGGCTATCAAAAATAAAAACCAAAACATACCACTACTTCGGGATATTGAGACGATTCATTCACTTTCTTTGGTTCCTGTGATGGTGGATAACATTTAATTTGATCATCGCTTGATGCAGAAATGACAATCTCACATGGTTCTATTCCAACAAACACACTATAATCATTAATTTTTGCTGATTCAAATAACCGTTCACCCTACAGAATAATATGATTATTTATTATCTATGCATAGCTCTCCTCTGTTACAGTCAACTACAAAATTCTTTATTGAATAACTTGAAGAAGAAAGCTAAAAAGAACTTTGCTGACTCTTGACTGAACGTTCAGGATTATGCATTATTCTTTTTGATATTTCATATTGTCGACTGTCAGGACTCGGCAAGTTTTGAACTGGAAACAATTCTCATTGTTGAGCAAAATGAGCCAATGATTCATAATTATCTTTGTATCTTGAGCTCAATAGTGAACAGAATATGAGTCTTGCTTCCAGTATAAAGACAATATGGATATATGCAAATCATTACCGACTGTAACGTGTAATCAAAAAGCCATAATGATCGATACCTTTATAATAATAAAGCGTGTACTGGGATAAAATTCTTTAACTGCAGTGCTACCAGTATCATGATCAAATGGTTTTAAAACTGGGTCCTTAGTGTATTCTATTAGATTTTGAAGAGTAACACCATCCATTTTCAACTCAACCGTCTCGTACGAAGAATCAGAATCATCTGTCAATTTGGCTGTTGGTGCAGGACAAGTTATAAAAGTATTGTTTCTTCTATCTTGTTGACATGGCTGCAATGAGATACACTGTTTCAATTTTTCCTCAAGAGAAGTCTAAAACAATTACTCATCCCGAATCTTGATCTAAATATTTTTTATTGGATAGATATACATTTCTTTACTTACAATAAAAGATGACGATTTTCCAGTAATTCCTATTTCCGGATACTGTATCGCTTGAAAACCCGTACCAATAACAGATATAATAGCACCACCACTAAGAATACAGAAATTAGTAGCGTTATTCGAACTTTGTAATGCGTGTCATCAAAAAGTCAACAGTCTTTATGGAATAATAATGAATTCTATAATTATACTGCAGACATTATATTTTTTGTTACTAGTCTTTGATTAAACTCTGTAACTTTGGAACTTGGTCATTCCCTCGCCATTTTAATAACCTTTTTTCTTTCTTTTTTCCTTATTTTGTTTGACTGTGCTACAGGGACGTTTTGATAAAACTAGAGTAGACCCAATAGGTATAGTAACCCACAGATCATTACGCTTATCGCAATGACATTTTTAAACAAATGTACGTACATCTGGCAGTAATCACAGTAAGAGTTGTTACCACAACAACAACTTGAGCTCTAATATCATCATAAGACTCAATGCCTCTTATATTCATATTACTCTATATCACCTATATCTTACTTTGAATAGTAAGCTCAATACATTAATTGGTGTCAGAAATTGTCAAACGATATGTAAAATTCAGTGCTGGACCTCTTGTTAATGTCAAATATCCAATGTTGTAAAATTTACCTTTCGAATGTTCTGTTTGGAAAAATTCCTAGAATTGTTGGATCAGGCAAATAGGAAAAGGTAAGATTTAGAGGAATCTGCACTTGGCCACCATATTGTAGAATCAATGGTAGATCAGTCCCATTACCGGCCTCAGTTGTACATCGTAACATCGATTCAGTGCTAAAACAATAAAGTCAAGCTTTAAAAGAATTAAACCAGAAAAAAAGTATTTAAAAAAAGTCATTGTATTTTGTAAGTTCATAAGATCGCCAAATATCAAACAT